TTTTCTTTTTTCTCTATGATTAAGTGTTGATTAGCTGAATGGGTTTTAGAAAAGTAACTGCATGTAAATGTGCTTGTAAATGTGCTTGACATATACTTTTTATGAAAGCTTTCATCCCTAAAGTAGACAGCTCTTTCTTCAAAAATAAGGACTTAAAGGCTTGAAAAGAAGATTACAGAAATGACTGCCTTTGGATGGTATATGACATATTCTGGGAGCTTTGAAGAAGTGTTTTGATTTACTGCCTGGTGAAAAATAAGTGCCTACGTCGCTAGGTTCAAAGCCTCCAACGACTGTCATAGCGGGAGATCAACAGCTCAGGCACTGACTTTGTTCAGATCTGTAAGAAATATAAAGCTCAGCTGAACCCCAGATTGTCCTTTCTGCTATGAAACCATAAACATCAGCTGCGATCTGTCAGAGGAATAAAGACGCTTTCATTGGAGTTTGACCTGACAGAGAGGCCAGTCAGGCTGGAACAGGACAGCAATAAAACCCTTCCCATAACGCAGATGTTCTCTGTTCCATGTTTTTGGTTTCTGAGTGAGAAGATTGTACTGCTACCATCTAAATACAGTGAATCTGCATTTATTAAATCCTAAATTTAAAAAAGGGTAAGAAACTTTAACCCATTACCATGTGGACCATGAAACAATCCACAGAAAAATCTTTGACATAAAAAAAAAAATATTTTGTATATGTAAAATAAGATCATTTATTTGCATCAATTTTGATGCATTAGGCATTTCTGTATGTTCTTTTATATGTTTTCTGTTCACTACATGTGTCTTTTTGTTTAAGTCAGGGTTTTCCAGGATAAAGAAATCTCACTGATGATGCAGAGGTCTCAAAAACGATCATAGCCAATCGCATCAAATAAATAAATTGGCTTTAAAGGGTTAAAATAAAACCTATTTTTTTATTTCAGCAGGATAACATCACACAGAAAAATTGCTACAGTTCTTTAACAGAAAGTTCTGGTGATTTTTCTACCTATTTTATCATCCTGCTCCACGTGTTCTGTTAGCCTTATTCATTTAAGTTCAAGTAGGTTTAAAACTTTTTTGAAATAATGCATTAAAAGTGGACGTGAGACAGTTTTGCAAGAACATAATATCTTGCACTAATTTTCGGACTCGTTAAGATTGACACCAAGTGAATTTAATGTATCCATATGTTCTCTTTTATTTTGTCAAGTTTAAGCAAACTAACATGAAGGGCAAGGATGGAAAATCAGTCTGTGGTGGGCCAGTGTCCCGAAACATTTAGATATGTCCCCTCATCAGCACATCTAAATAAGTCAGAGATTTCCGGGACTCTGGACAACCTGAATATTGAAGGTTCATTTAGTTGTGATGGATCAAGGACACATCTTTTGGGATGTTGCTCTCTGTCGGGTTGCACCATTTGTTCAGGGTGCAGTGTGGATGGTTTACATTGCTTTTTTTTCCATATATGTGCAGATAACGCAGTAAATGGGTTTGAAAATGCTTACTGACAGTGTAACCAGTGTTTGTCCTAAAAAGTTGTCACTGCAAGAAATGTAGATCTAAGTACACTGGAAAAAACAAATTCTACATAAGTCAGTTTTTCTTAAAATAAATGCATTTTTTCTTTAATGAGGAGGTAAAATAAACATTTTGCCAATGGAACAAGACTATTTACACTTAAAATAAGAAAACACAATTACATTTTCTTATTTGAAGTGCATTTTATCTAAATATCTTATTTTAAGAGAAAAAATACTAACTCAATTGGCAAACTACCTCATTTACCTACTCACACTAACGGTAAATACACTTAATTTAAGAAATGTTTACTTATTTCTAGATCATTTTTCCAGTGTAAATTTCTTTTTGTTTTTAAATAAGTGCATTTTTGCTTGAATTGAGCAAGTTATTGAGACACTTTGACAATAGAACAAGAACATTTGCATTTAAAATAAGAAAAAAACAACTGTAGCCTCTTATTTCAAGTGTATAATAATTAATTATCTTATTTTAAGGGTAAAAAGCTCATTCCATTGGTAGATCATCTTATTTTCCTACTCAAATTAAGATTAAATACACTTATTTTAAGACATTTTTTACTCATTTTCAGAATGTTTTTGCAGTGAGAACCTTGGGTGAGGGAGCCCAGATGTCAGTCGAAGGGCTGATATGCTCATTAACAAGTTTAGTGTACATAAAAAAAAAATTCTGTGAAAGATAATGCTGCTATATTAAAATCATAACGTTCTAAAGCTTTTTCACATTTCTTTTTAACAGGGCACACTAACAATGTGAAGGTACAGTCTATGCTACAACTGCCTTGCGTAAACCATTAAAAAAATATATATTTTGATGCATTACTGTTGTTTTTACAGTAAACCATATTTACAGCTTATTTCTGTCATCTAATTCAATATAGGTATGTTACGTGAGGAAATAAAGTAGCTAAATTAGTTAGCTTAATTTCAAAATAAACAACTTTTGTATTATGATATGTCAGATCAAATAAAAATATATTTTTCCGAGTTTTGAAACTTTCAACGGAAGCAACAGTCAGACGGACAAATGGTGTTGCGGTATAAAATTTAAGTTAGCTGAGCTGTTCGAGTTTAGATTATGCAGAATCCTGACGACTTGTGACAAACAGTACAGTGATCTGAACTAATAGACTCTTCCAGCCCTCTGGACACACCACCAATAGTGAATATGTGGTTACATTCCTGCACATTTAAATATATATATTCTGTATTTCTTTGATAATAATTTTTGTAGTCAAAAATAACTATTGAAAACTTTCAGTTATAAAATCTCAGGTTTGGCTTCGTTAGCACAGTCGTATTTTGTACAAATCAGCCTTCAACTGACTCAAATCATCGTATCTTATGACCCAATTGGTTAAAAAATAGTTTTAAGTCAACAGAATAATATGAGAAACATTATGTTATATATTGGCTTTTAACATATTGGTTTCAAAAGAATATTAAGGAATTACACTATTCTTCCCATTTATACATTACACAGATTTTTCGTCTGATGTCTTTTTATATTTGGGTAGAATAAAAGGAACTGTACATTTTAAGACCTTTATAATTAACAACAAAAATAAAAAATAAAAAACTGGCAGGTGACTTCTCTTGTTGATACAGTGGTTTACCTCA